TCCTCCCACCGTCGATATGAAGCCCTAGGTACGCCGCCCCTATGCCCATCTATCGGGGACTTTTGCCCGGTAAACTGCCCCTCACCGTGTTTATTTGCTGAAGTGACCTCTCCAGGGGCGGCAGTGGATAGTCAAAAGAAGCCAGGAGTTGCCCAAACAGCTGGTCTTGTAAGACTGATGTTCGTTCGGCCTTTACCCGTTGATCTTTCAGGCACGATTGGATCTGCGGCTGTGAGGAGCCATTCTGTATAGCTCGCAGGGTCATGGAGGAACGCAAGCCGTCACATCACGTCAAGTAGTTCTCACCACCACCACCACCACTNCGTGAGGTCCATAACAGCAATGAAAACGTTCTTTTCTTTCGGCTTGTACTCCTATGTTCGTGTCTGAAACATACTACAGGGTAAATTTTATTCCACTTTAAAGGCGAAGTTTCCGTGGGGTATCCGCCAGACCGAAGATTATTGCTGAAAGTTCAGTGTGTTTGCGGCCGCCTCCTATCCATGGTCGTCGTGTGTTTTAATACAGTGAAGTTAACTTCGCTAATCCCTGTCAAACCCATAATGCATGCAAGGTAAGTGGGAATGTGTAAGGAAGATAGGGATGGTGCCTATTTTGAGGGAGAGGGAAAGAAAGTGAACCACACAGTACAAAACCTAACGGTGCGTATACGCGTTTTCAAGCATTTTGGTCTGATAAGAGGTGACAGCATGATCGCCATTGCCGTCGGTTTGCTGTCTTGACCTTTAGTGTCCCCAACCATCCAGTTACGGAATATGTTGGCCACGAACCCAGAAGACAAGGGACATCTGCTCTACCTAATCGCTCTGTGCATTTCTCCATGTCTCGTCGCCATGTCATCTGCTGGCCTCCACGTAACTTTCTCCACTCTGCACCGGACACTGTGACTAAGGTGCGGTGTGGTAGGCGACCGTCAAGCATACACGAAACGTGTCCTAATCAACGAAGCCCATTGAGCTGGATTCGATACGTCAGCGAATGCTTGTTCGACGCATTCCCGAAAAACCGACGACTTACATCTGGGCTACTAGCCACCTTACTCCATCCCACCTGAACCAGACTTCGTAAGCATCTATTGTCGAAAACCTCCGGGAGATTGATGTCTTCTAACGGCAACTTCAAGATATCAACCGTGAAACAGAACTGATCGTACAGTGGCTCAATATACGCTACTGATCAACTTTGATGAAACTTCACGTCGTAGCCACAGGTCTTTTAGTCCTACGAACGCTTCTCGAGCCTTGGAAATGCGTGAGATTATCTCCGATGTGCTATCTTCATTGGTCAAGCAGGCACCCAAGTATGAGAAGCAGTCAACTGCAGGCTATTCCTGACCGCCTAGTTTCCGAACGTGACTCGACGAAACCCAGTCATGCAGCGTCACTTTGCACTTTGAAGGTACAAATCGCATGCTCAACGGAACAACAGAACTTGCTAGTATGTCGAGTTTGCTTTGTGCATCCGTGCATTCAAACAGATAGACGATGTCATCGGTGTACTCCAAATCGCATAACCCTTCTCCAGCAGCCCATTCAATACCCACATTTTGGAGATCACTTAGTGCGTTCTCCAGTATTTATTCTATGACAAAATTGATCGGAATTGCGAAAGAGGGCACCCTTGATGGAAACCGCTGCTACTTTCAAACGATCTACTCAGCTCGTCTTAGAATTACACTACCAGAAGTATACTATTAGAGTGACCTTAATCGGTTGACATACTTCTGCGGCATTCCTTTGCGAATGTGTGAAGCCATTATCGCTTCGTTGTCAGCTGAGTGGAAGACTCCTTTTAGTTCAAGGAGCACGACAACCGTTGGTCGATGGTCTGTATGGCGTAGTCCGAGGAGTTGGTGCAATGTGAGGATTTGGATGATGCAACCGCTATTGGGTCCGAACTCTGCTTGTTGCTCGCGGATATTTCTCTCCCTAAACGGTATCAGACGTCGAAAAATGACGGAAACTAAGAACTTGGTGACGATTGTGATCAAACTTGTTCCACGGTGGTCTGCGCAATCGTTGATAGATCCTTTTTTGAAAATTGGTACGATCAGTGGTTCGCTTCAAGATGGTGAAATCGGTGATGGAATCCACGAGGTTATCCCCCCCATTTTGAAAACAGTTTGAGGAAGCCCATCAGATCCTGTTGCTTTTCCTTTCTTCAGGGCTTGGATGCAAGACCCTACTTCTGCTTCACGAAGAGGTTCACATGACACTACCCACGGAGCCTCTGTTACAATAGACGAGATAGTCTGTTTAGCGCCTGGCCAGCAGAACTGTTCGCTGAAGTACTTCGCCCACCGGTCAATCAGTTGTTCTTTATTATGAATGGCGTGTTCACTTTTGTCTCATTGTTTCACTAACGGGTTCGCTGCATCTAAAGTGGGAGATAAATTTACAGGTAACCTGGACAACATATAAAGGTATATATTACAATAAGCAGTATCTGATGTGCTCAACAGAATTCCCCTGGAAGCACACGACCAGGTTCGCGGTTCTTGCCGCTCATCAGGCATGCGTATTCGGTAAGAACCCACAAGAACCGCGAAACCGGAGGTGTGCTTTAGAGAAATTTTGTTGATTCACTCATATACTACTTATCGTGAAATATTACTTCATCCAACCTTTCCGTCAGCTCGTCTATATCTATAAAGAGATTGATGTTACTTAAACCGGTGATAAGTTATCACGTTTTCCGCTTTTCTCAGAAAGACGGTAACGACATCTTCCTGGCTAGTCCGAGAAACAGAAGTTGCTCACAGTGTTGTGAGGTATTGTTCACATTTGTGGGTGGTTTGCCCACACCTAGAAGTGGTTATTGTATTCCCACGGAATTCGCACGTGGATTAAAGAATTTAATTTTGTAACCACAGAAAATGCGCACCCACGGTCGGTCTGTTCTATTACTTATTCTATGTGCTTGTGGAAATCCTGAAGACTTGTTCCAAATGAGACATTTTGTTGTACGTACGCTAAGTTACCGGTACCCTTACAGGTATTCGCTAATTAACAACTGTCCTTATCCCGGCATTGCCTTGTGGACTTATAAGAACAGTATCCAGTTTTTATGATCAACTTCTGTTAATGATGAAATACTTTGTTAAGTAGTGATCATGGTGATATATTCTCCTTCAGCTAAATGCCTGCGACCCCATGGTTTTCGTTTCGAAGCTATTCCTCCATATCGTGCTTTTGGAATACACATTGGCCCGGGGTGACTTCTTTTATCTCGAGCGCCCGACAGTTCCGCATACAGACGTTCTTTCCCTTTTGGGCAGTTACGAGTTAGTTGAAGCTCCGAAACTGCGCAGTCCTAGGCACGATGAACCGGCCCTTTCGAGGCGCGTTAGTTTTTCGACAAAATCAAGGTTCGTTCATGTGGTTTCTCTAATAAGAATGTAGAATCTGGACCCTTATTCTGGAAAGGCGACCTTCTCTTATATCGCCCACACTATCCGTGACTGTTCTGGGTTCCAAGGGAAAACATAAGTTTGCTGATGCAACAACTGGAATTTCCTACTTTGAAGGGTACGTTATGGATCAAGCGGATTCTTTTGTGGCAGCTACGTGGGACGACGAAATGGGACTGTTTTCGACTCGTATTACCTTGCCAGGGGATACGTATTTTCTGGAGGTAGGACGTAATTATTATTATTATTACCGTGCTTTTCAGCCGTTGTCCCTCTACCATGGTTACCAAACGAACTTGTCGCTACTGTTCTATCGACTGAGCGACATAAGAGGCGAACAATTGAGGTAAATTGCAATGGTCTCGGGTTAATCGTGTTTAGTCATACATATTTCAATGATGAAATTGCATCCAATGGGACTGTCAAAATGAGTGGCGAGACATCCATGGGTATGTTTTGAGCTAATACCGCCACATTGAAAGGTTTTGTTTTACCGTTGGTTTTTGTACGGTTGAGGTTATTTTATTTCTGTTCTATGGGACAGATGTTTATTAAAGTAGGTGTATTCATCATAACTGTTTTTGTTTGACTTCACGAGCTTGGTCTGCCTATCACTGTTGTCTGTCCATTTTTTGGAGCAGTTGGCTACAATCTTATCACGGACAACGTCATACACGTTCGGTTTATCCAAGTTTATGAACAAAACTTTCGTTGAGTTTTCTTTTTACCTTCACCCACAATGACAGATTCGTACNTGCACAGGATTATGCACTGCAGTCAATTCAAACTGTGCCCTTATATCACATGGTACAGTGTTCATCGGTCTGTAAAAAGACAGCAGTTTCTGTGATGACGATATGAAAACTAATTACCGGAGGAAGCTCGGTTTGTTCACTGGTAATGCATGCAACTTAAACCCCTGCAATTTCGTAATAAAGCCAGTACAATAATGCTGTATATTTACTGCTGACGATTCCCAGCAAAGATGAAACAGCTATATAGTGTATAATGTTCCCATCATATGTATTTATATACGATATGGGGTAAATATGACAAGAATAAATATAGGTGGGTTGGGATTACTAAACAAACCCAGAAAACTGCTAATTTCATGTGGTCAGTAAGATAAGAGCTCCATAATTCCAGTGAAGATTCACATAAACATT